CAGCAGGTAGATTCGACTCTGGCCCTTCTTTTACAGGACGTCTGTATTTGTAGTCTTTAACTTACAGTCTATGGTTAAATCTTTAACCACCAGGACAGCTTAATAGCTCTATACTTTACTGCAACCGTAACTAAATTGACCAATAAACAAACATTTCATAACTTACCGTGTATAAACCTTCTTCGAGAAAAGATCCGTTGGTTTTCTTTGCTTCTGCGCGCCACTTCTGACCCAAGGGAGCATGCGCATAGATTGCCAGGCTTCGTGGAGTAAGCTTTACTTGAGTTTGCCACTTTTGCATTAGTTCATTAAATGACAAAATACAAAGTAAATAATACTTGGGAATTTCCATTTGCGTTTACTCTATTTGAATACTATGTATTCAAGTGCAATAAATAACATCAAAACCTCAAATAGTTTATTGAATTAAACGTAACATTTTCAAATAAAAAGACAAAATAGAATTTATTTGTAAAATGTACTTTATTTACAATCACAAAAAATAATTTTTTACAGTGTATGTGACTGAGCAATTTTTAAATTAAACTCTCAATTTGGATGTAAAGATCAATGACAACAAATTTCTGTTTAATAAAACCTTTAAACACTTCACTCTTTACAGAGGTGTGGGATGAACTGGACCTAAGGACCGGGCTGTCCAGGGAATACAGTACAATGCCGTCATTTCTGACAGCACCAAATCAAGTTTAAAAAGAGAATTTTTAGGAATAATGCTTAATACAAGGCTCACGTTTGTAAATGTTATTTACATGAAATAAAGATTTCGGCCAAATAACTGCGAAATTTGGAATTCTTTGGTGGTTTTTAATACGGCCCGTAGACTTTACAGCATATATTCGGAGAACTGTTCACCGCCGAACGGTAGATGGCGCTCATGAGTTTTGCGACGACGTTTCATAGAATAACATGAATACTTCTTGCCTGTCAGCATAAATATATGGGCTACATCCTGGTCTAGGTTATGTAGATGTATTTGTCTCATAAATTAACAATGTGTAGGTCTTCCAAGGTAGGTAACCGAGCACAGGAAAAAGCAAGCCTCGATGGTGTATTTCATACGTACCGCTGCAGATGTAACGCCGATGGCGAATCTTGGGTTTAGATGAATCGGGCTGCTGGTAGCCAGAGAGCCGAGCAGGTCTCTCAAAGCCACCGTTATCGTAAGCCAGCTCAATGATCACACGGACATCCACTGCCTTGGCTCTTGGGTGGGTTTCAGTTTAATTTTTGTGCTAGAGGTAAGAGGAGATTGCTAATCAAGGCGAAAGAGAACCTCACTGTGTGTATGTTATGAGGATACGTACGCGTTAAAAGGCTGCTTGCAGGTCACTGTGCATACTGTCAGGATGCATGCAGGTCACCGTGTGTAAAATGTCATAATGAATACAGGTCACCGTATGTGAATTACCAGTATGCATGTCCATCACTGTATAGATTAAGAGGTAAGCGATATGTGTGATTTGAGAGGACACATAAATATCCACGATTAGGTGGATATTGTAAAAGCTGCCCCGTAGCTAAGGTCAGTGTTCGAAAAGTTTGTGTTTTTTTAGTATTTGGCCTATTAGGAATGCAGACGCTACATAAAGACCATTTTTATTCACTTTTGTGCTGTATTTATGGGAAATTGATAGTACTATTTTCCACTTTTTTTTGGCACAGCTATATGGTTCAAGATGGCCATCTCCCAGTTCCGCCTTTTCAGGATTTGCACGTGTCTTGCATGGCTGTTGTCGTTCTTTAAAAGATTAATCTGCAGGTAAGTGTTGAAAGACGTAATGGAATATTGGGGTATTATTTTAGATTTTAAGAAAACTGACTGTTTTCTGTCACATCAATATATAAATTAAGCAAATATCATAATATGCACATATTACATGTATTGCACGATGTTTTAGATTAGTGTTTCACTGAATTAATTGAGAAAATGGGTTAATAGGGATTTTGTGTAAAATTGCAGCCTAATGTTAAAATATTGACAAGGCTATGCCACATTTTCTTAGTAGCATCTTATAGCGTGACTATAAACTTTAGCATGCTGGTGTGTTACAAACCTCTGCCTCTTTCGGAAATCTACTGTGTATGGTATTGCTACCCTTTCGGGGGGTGGCGTCAGTTGTGCCCTGACTCTGTGTGTTCTGCTTAGAGCCCTGTATTAACTGTACTGTCACTCATAAGATGTTTTGCCAGATTGACAGTGGTTATTTATTTATTTGTAAAGGTCTGCTAGTTTAGTTTTTATATACTTTATTAGTTTTTATAAAGGACCTGTAGATGCTGTAATGTGTTGGGAACCTAGTTAAAGCAATGAATAAACATTCTTTCCTATATCTAATGTAACATACTTTGGAGAAATATATAATCAAAGGTATGTCTTGTTGTAGGAGGAATATTATGTAACAATTTTGTCCCTCTTCTCCCCATCCAATCCATCTTTAGGTCCGGAAGGTTTCGAAAGCTCAGCGGTGATCAGATTTCTTTACCGACAACTGTAGATTTCTCAGTACCCAAACAGGTCAGTAAAACTCGAGTGTAATTTCAAAGTATTGATAAGATGTGACCCTCCAAGTTGCAGTAGGGCACTGATGATTTTAGAAATCTTGTATACCATTCTCGAGGGTCACTGTCACCCTGTACCCAATAAGTGGCTATGTAAAACAGATAGATGAGATTATGGAGGAAACTGTACTGAGATAGCAGCACCAGTGCACAGTCATGCTGGTTTTGCGAGTGGTGCTCACCCACCAAATACCCAGGCGACACTATCTGTTACTTTGTTTAAGGAAATGTGAAAACATGACTAAACAGAACCTTTCTGTTAAAGGAGATCTATGTTCATTGAATATCAAATCTACTGTGGAAAGATAATTTGACATTGGTAGGCCTGGGAGGGGAGGCATATTGGGTCTGTTATGTCTTAGACCTTAGGCAAGAAGAGATTGTTTCGAAGACTGCGTGTCCTCGCCTCGTGATAGCTGCCTGCGGTTGGTTCCACAGACCCTGAAGAGAGATTGGACCTTGGAGAGACAGACAGCAGAGTAATGGGGGGGGGGGGACTGTCTGCAGGAAGGGAATCAAAGCTGCCCCAACTGGTGCACGAAGAGCTGTAGTAATAAAGTAGTCGCAGTACACAATACACAATATGTTATGCGGTAGTGCAAATGTGTAAATAATTGTTACGTTAATCATTCTGATCTTATGTTAACCATGTATTTGTAGTGATTCAATGACAATACGTAAATGCGTTAATCATTATTCAAAGGACAACCAAATATTTACAGTGATTCAATGTCATATAATCAATATCTATATACATATTTTAAGTAGAGTCTAGCAATCGAGACAGATTCCGATAAATTGAGAAAAATGGGTGGATTTTACCTTGCTACCAAGGTGAACCAATAGAGCAGGAGAATTGTGTTTGTTATATGAGCTTGGTTTGTTGGTGTTTTGTGACCAATCAGGACTTGGAAGTCCTTACAGGGAATTGGGAGTTATGGTTTATCAACTGGTTGCTCTTTGTGCTTGGGGTACCTGGTGCCAGAGTGTGACGGGAGCGCTTTGCTGGATTGCTCGAAGAAAAGAGAGAACTTTGGTCCAGATTTTTATTCTAAGTGGCTCAACAAGAGTTATCAGAGGTTGTTTTATAATTCAACTACCACACTACATCAGTATACAGAAGCATCTTCCTAACATAAATGACTTATGCTCTTTCATCCCTAGGGCTGTAACGGTACACATTCGTTTCTGTATTGCTTGGTACATCATTTTCAGTTAATGACAAACAATACAATGAATGAATACTTTTTTTTGACAGTGTTGGAACCTAAATTTACAAGTAGTTGTTCAACATGGAAAACATGTAATTGTGGCTGTAAGTTGGTTACAACTGGTTACAGTGAGTTATAATTGATGGTTTGGGAACATTTTGGTTTTGCAATAAATTGCACTACTGGAGAGATAGTCAGTAGACTGTCTGGTTTGAACATGAAACTTTGTGTTTTTTTATTTTTATAATAATCGCACAGGCCAGTAACAATAGCCCCACAGCCGGTAGGGGGCTGGCTTTTGTCCAGGTCTGATTTTCTTTAGAACTAAAGCTCTCTGTGGGGAATGTGAAATTCTTTCACTGGAAAACCAGTGCAGTTGAAAATCACTGGTAGGTATGCAAGCAACTGCTTGGACTGCTCATTTGTCTCTGACCCACTTCTGCAGCCAGAGATTGAGCAGTGGAGCTCCTGGGATGATGACGCCCCAACAAGCATCAAGATTGAGGGTGGCAACGGTGCCGTGCCCCTCCAGCCCAGTGAGACTGAGGGGGAGCCTGACTACTTCAAAGACATGGCCCCCACCATCAGGAAAACGCAGAAGGTGACCCTCCTCAGGGCTGATAGCCTTTAACCTTGAAACTGGGTGGCATGCAGTGTGACCCAATTTGATCTTGACACTGAAGATCAGACAGGGGCTGGAGCCCCAGCCTGATATGACCGTGGTTTATACCTAACGAACTAGACTGGCGTGAGTGTGCTTAGCTCTAACATGGTCCTCCTCCATGTCGCCTAGATCATCTTGAAGAAGCGGGAGCCCCTGAACTTCTCATTGCTTGATGGGAGCACCGGTTTCTCCAGCCGCCTGGCTGTCACGCAGGACATGCCTTTCATCCAGCCGTCGGTGGGTGTTATCCTTCCAGTCCCTTCTTTGGGGCTCGTACTCTCAGCGGGACACTTATGCTATCTGCAGGATAATGAAAGATGGCTTTATTAGAACATTGCTACTTTGTTCTCTGATGGCCCGTTAATTTTTTTTTTATTTACATTAGAGGAGGTCAACAGAAACCAAGAGATTTATTAGCACTTAAAATACTGATGCTTGTTGGCTTGAGAAAAAAGCTGCTTATTGCTTACAGACTGTCCGAGGGCTCTCGGTTCATGGCTGAACCCCAGTGATGTCTCTGTCACAGGCTGAGTTGGGAGACCTGGACACCTGGCAAGAGGAGACGAATGCTTGGGAGGACGGGTCTGATGCTACATGGGAGGCAGAAGAGGTGCTAAGGTATGTTCTCTCCTCTGTCCCCCTCCCTCTCTGACTTATGTTCACGACACAAGCGCTCCTAAGCCTGTGAGCATAACAAAATTGCTAGAACTTTTAATATTCACATTGTAGGAATCGTTAGTGTATAATATTGGAAAAACACCAGTCAGTTCCCATCCTTATTGGAAAATGTAACGCATGCCTTGCTGTCATTTTACTCCCAAACAGCAGGTGGCGACATACCTTTCCTTTCGATAAAACCTACTGTTGGTGATGAAGTTTTTCCAGGTTCATAGATCGTTTTCTTCTTTTATGCAGGCAGCAGAAGTTGGCCGAGAGGGAGAGACGGGCGATGGAACAGCAGAGGAAGAAAATGGAAAAGGAAGTGCAGAGACTGATGAAAAAAGAACAGAAAATAGCGGTCAAGCTTTCCTAACAGTGGAGGCACTCTGGTCATGATTTAAGTTAAGGGATGTCATGGATTTCTGCATTGTACCCTGCTTCAGTAGATCAGATCCTCATAAAGCTACCTGTTAGTTACTGCTTTGGAGACAGCCAGGAAACTGCCAGCAGCGGGCCTGCTTTTCACAGCAGACATTTCCCACAATTTTAGGGGACTTTTTAACTGCTTTGTCTTATCACTGGATGTTCAGCTCATGGATGATGACCTTCCACCCATCCTGTTCACTGTATATTGTTATATCTTATTCACTTTATTTATGGTGTTAATATTATTTATCTGAGGATGCTAATCCTTCTGTGCTCACACCCAGGTTTTTAGAGTACGAAAATGTGCACAACAGTGGTGATGATGATGATGATGATTGTGGTGTTATTTCCAGTTTAATTGATCTGGTCATCAGCAGACTAAGTGCTGATTTCTAAGCCATAATAATGCTGTGTTGTACCATTAGGCTGATGAAGTAGAGGTCAGCGTAGGGTCCTGCAGTGAGAGCTCAAGGGAGTTTTACTTTTTTTAAATGTTCTGAGGGCAGAAGGAACAGAGATTGGTTCAGATTGTAGAGGATGTGGGTCCAGGCAACTAGAGGAGGCAGGACCAAGACATCTGATTGGTTGGTCCCACCTCCTCTACAGTGTGATTGGTTCAGGGATTGGTTCAATGTTCCTTCTGCCCTCAGAATGTTTTGGTGTAAGTAAAACTCCCATGAGCATAGTGGGATGGTGTACTGACCTGCTGTTATATCACTTCTACTCAGCCAGAGTGAAGGCTTCCCTAGCAGCAGAGCTGCACCAGTATTTCACACTGCAGGAGCTATTTCTGGGAGGAATTCTGCGTTACTGCAAGCAATGAACCCCATAAAACAAGCTGGAAAGAAAAGCAATTTCATGTGCTCTGAAGAACAGGTTGTCCTAATGGCATGAGTGAAGTGGATTTTTCTTGTATCATGTATCTTTGGACACAGAATCTCTCACTGCCCTGGCAGCTGGCTCTTCCAGTGACCATGCAGCACAATAATTACTCTTGGAGATTATTTTGCATGTGAGTCCATACCCTTTGTCATCCCTTTTCCTCTGGATTGAGGCTGGAGGAGGGGGTTTATATCTTCATTTAGCTGTTGAGAGAAGCCAGATTTGTTTTGGTTTCGGCCACATCTCCCATTCTGTGTATGGTGATTTTGCTATTGGCATAAAAGCAAAGTAACCAAGTTTCTAACTGAAAGACTGCATGTTTTTCTGAGCTTGTCATTCCACAATCTTTTCTTTATGGCAGAGTATGTGTGTATGTGTGCATGTGAGCGTGTGCATGTGAGAATGATGCTCACTGGTGATATAATTTGAATATCTGAGGCTGGTTAGGAATGTGGTCTGTGAACTAGGGCTAGAGGATCACTAGAGTCGTATCTTATGTCCCAACGTGCTGCATTCTGGCAGCAAATAGTATGCTGGAGGCAGAATCATTCCATTTCTTTTGCCTCCTTTTGAGGTTTCACAAATTACAAAAAAAAAGACTGATCCACTTCCAAGATTTATTTTTAACATTGGTAAATCCATAATATTTGGGGTATTTTTAATATCCAGCCATGAATATCTCTAGGATTATGCAATACACAGGCAGTAAATTTGCTCTTCTCAGAAGGGTTGCACTTGCTGCTTTTTGCACCATCACAGCCGCTTTGCTCTTCAGACGACCAGCGCGATACTAAACTGCATTGCTCTGCTTATGCAATGGTATTTATGAGCCAGTATGGCGTCAGTCACATGACTGCAACGCACATAGAATTACTGCAGTTATTCTGCACACTAGCCCTGATTTAGAATAAAAGTAGCATTCGGCTCCTCACTATATGGGGTGAGAAATTTGGCACAGCAAACATCGGGTCAATAAAAGTCCCTCCTATTGCAATCATTAAATTTGTAAAGTCCATGCTTTTCAGAATAAATTATAATATGCCGTTCTCAGAAAAGGGTCACTTCACAAGCTTATACTCCAGTCGCATAGGTCTTCCAGTAAAGGGACCTGAACAGATTGGCCCTGGATACTGCAGGATAATAAGCTGCTTTTAGGCACCAGAGATTCTAGTAATTAGAGAATAAGAACATCTAATTTCCTGATAGAAAGCAGAGGCTAATTGTTGCAGCACTTGGTGGAGGTAGGACATTAAGCTCCAGAAATCTTCAGCTCAAATGATTGCATGGCCTAGGAGACGAGTCATGCTTTAATGTGGTAGAACATGTAAATATTACACAGATCAGGTACGTCTACTATACTAGAGCATCATTTCATGTACAGGTAAACAGCTCGGATACCATCAAGTTCCCTTAACACAAACACCAAATAGTGAATTTAAAATTTAGTCAAACAATTTGACCACACACATACCCCCAAAAAAACCAACCATTCCAACATCTACCCCCCCCCCCCCCAAAACAAATATTCCATGCAATCTTCCTTAAAGTGCAAATTACTCAAACTTTCAGGATTTCTTTCAGCCAATAACTGTGCTCAGTGCAAATGAACGTGAAGAAAGCGGAATAACCAGCAAAGCAGATATGAAGTGCTCTTTGAGTTTGTTCCTGTGGGTGAAGCCAGTTAAGCATTTGGCCCTGGGGAGACTTGACGGAGGGCATGCAGACCCACAATACAGCAACCACGGATCAGCATTCCGATGTTGTACACTGGCACACCCTTCCTCTTGTGCATGGCATATAGCCAAGCTACAGTTGGCAAAGCTGGTACAGCAAGCGCAACAAGGTCCACCAAGAAGCTACTGCTCCAGTATGACCTCCGAGCTACTACTGCCGATTGCTGCTCATTTGCCGGCGAGCAGGGTGGATGTGACCCATGGTCATATAGGCCAAGCCCAGTGTTAGAAATAGGATCAGAAGTCACCTCCAAAATGCCAGTGTCTTTAGGGACAGCCTGAGCCCGGTTAGCATGCAGCTCCTCAAAGCGTGTTAAATCTGCTAACTCAGAGTACATGCCAGAGTCACTGGATTTCTCAGGAGTCAACAGAATAGGGGAAGCATGGCCACTGGTAGCCAAGTGCAGTAACGGGCTGATGTCCACAGCTTTCAGCACTGACACCGGGAGCGTTCCCTCCGCATGCATTTTCAATAGATGACAGAGGAAGTCTTGAAGATCCCAAGCACCTGCAATATCAGTCTGGACAGCCTTCTCACTAGGACTGTCCCAGCCTTTGTCTGGAGGCAGACTGGTATGAGTCTTCTCACCATGCAGCAGGACCAGCATCTCTGCCCCCAGCCTTGAGTGGGCGTCACTGCCCGGGTCAACTGCAGTGGATGTCAAGACCTGTTCAAAAATGTCTGTCTGGTTTGCCATCTCATCATTTACCAATAAACCACTGTCAGCCATTTCCTCAATAGCTTGGTCCTCCAGGGCCAGTCCACCCTCCAGTTTGGTCATTGACTCGGTAGGGGAGTCACAGATAAAGTCCAAGGCAGATTCATCGTGCAGGGAACCACTCTGTGCCAGCTCCATGCTATGGAGCAATGACTCCAACTTCCTGTTCTGGATGTTGATGTCTGTGAAGTACTTCTGAATGCCCTTGTCCTTCTCGGTCAAGCTACTCCTCATGGTCTCCACCACCTGGCGGAGCTGCCCGATCTCCTTACGTGCCTCCTTCAGGGCTAGCTGGGCCTCCACTCGGTGGCACTCCTCCTCAATCCAATCCTCCCGCATCCGTTCCAGCTGCGCCTTTAACTCCTCGATCTCAGACTCCCTGCAAGAAAGAACCGCTTCTATTTTACAGAGTCGGCTGTACATTGGAATAGTCTGCCTGTTCCTAGTAACTTATTACTGCTGTAGACATCCTAAGAACATAGCCCACCGTTCCTGAAATTTGCTCTCAGAGTCCTTCAGCTTCATTTTCAGGTGCCTGATGGCAACTTCCTTCTGTTGTAATGGAGTCAGATACTGTTCAGGATTGGGGGCTTTGATTCCATAGCTTTCCACACAAGCCATACGACCAGAGCTTGACCGCCTGAAGAGAAAGTCCATCAATATTCAAAAGGGGTTTTAGGAATGACCAAACATTTAATGACTTGTATATTCCAAATGCAAATGTGAATGTTCACGGAAAGCTCTGTAGATCACTATATCTACCTACAAATTTGAGTGCCTTAACCTCCTGAGACCCAAGGAAAAAAAGTGTCCTTCAATTGTAGGTTTTTTGTCTTTGGAGGAAATAAGACATCTTACAATTTAGATTTTTTCAAATTTATTTTTATTTTTAATTTCATAGCATGCCATCTTTGGTTTCCTCTTTACAACAGGAATAAATATGTTTCCTTACATCAGTGAAAAGATAGATGCAAAAATAAAATGTCCACTACAATGGACATAAATGAATGGGTGGAGTCTCAGGAGGATGAGGACAACATACTGGTAATCATGCCTAACACACTTAAATTCAACAAGTGAAACTATACCTGGTGGTAGGACTGCTGTTACTGCTGCTGCTGTTGGAGGGAGGTGTACGTGGGGATGTCCTGTAGAGTGCAGAGACCAGCTCTTTGTCCCGAGCCATGGAGGTGCTTAACAGAGTTTTATTCAGTAGGACGCCACCCTTGGTCTGGGAGCCACGGCTAAGACAAGAGAGGGCTGTCAGACCACAGAAGACCCTTTGGCAGCATCCTTCCTTCTAAAGGCACATGAACTGTTGTGTTCTTCAGGCAATTGGAATATTAAACATATACCACCTTCAGAGATTACCCATCAGTGCAGTGTGGAATGCTTTTTCCCCATAGAACATCTCTGAATGAAAATTATTCACACACACTGCAAGCCTAAGGTTCCTGGGGACAAAGCCATTAAATAATTGCTCATACTTGGTCTCACCATAGAATCATTCTGCTTTCTTTGGATTCTGACCCCCTGCCGGGCAACATTTGAACATTTTTATGTACTAATGTGAACCTCGACAAGCATTAGTTATTTTCTTTCATCTTATGTAGTCAAAAACAGTACAGCACACTCCTGACTCCAACAGCACCTGCGTGGATAGCAGATCTTCTTCCCTCCAGAGCTGGTGGCCAATGTCCGGCCTGCCCCAAGACTACCAGCACTACTGGATGAGCTGAAGTCTGCTTCACTGCCTGACAGGGAAAGAGAATCGGTCACTGTAAACACCCATTCATCCCACTTCTGTCTTCCAGCAGTTGACAGTTGCTGGCAATTATCCAGGCAAGAGAATCACAAAAATGCCCAATAAAGGGTTTGGGGGTTCAACAGGATCATGATTATTGCTTCAAGAAGGGACTGTCAACAAGTGATTTAAAAACCTGCCAGGAGAGTCCAGGGGGCAGACTATTGGCAGATTGATTGAGAAGAACATTGAACTCAGATGAGAAGTCATTTTGCATTTATATCAGCGAAATGCACAAAAACACCCCTATCAATGAAATCAATCTACTGTGGAAGTCCATTAAACCTAGAGCAACAAAATAAGATCATACATAACCTTTTAAACAAATTTATTGAAGTTCTGACAGTGGGATAAAACAAACACTGAAGTGTCTGGCACAACAATCAATATGTCTGGCTAAAAATAGACCATGTTAGTAAAATTTGCTTAACAAGCAGAGAGAGAATATGAAAGCTCAGACTGTATGGACAACAATTAAACTAAATAAAAGGAAAAAAGTTATAATGCCAACAAGATCAACTTACAGGAGTGATACCTCTTACCCTGTGATATAACCATACTAGTGTAAACCTTTAGAACATTTGTGGTCGAACAAACAAAGGCAGGAGAAAAACTGTGGGGGGAAACTGTTGAGGAAAATTATTTCAATCAAACCCTCACCTCCCCGCATGGTGAAAATAAATTGCGGTGTAATTATTTTAATTGGAAAGAAAGGTCCACACCAAGTTTCATTCAAACCTTCCTATTAATCCAAAGGCAATTGCCAATTAAGCTTTAGTCCATCTACCAGGCTTGCACCCAATTTACCAATTAAGCACATTCCACCTCTCATTGTGGAAGCAAATACTAGTCGTGATATATTAAGATTAGCTGTATTCTGGTAAAACAAAATTGTTGCTTATTTCAAAAACATAAAGCATTTTTTTCTGTTCCAAACCACAGATGTACATGGGTCATTCTGTTTCATACTAGTGTCTAATATCCCCATATGGTCATTAATTAGGATTAATAATTATACCAATGCTTTTTTTCATCCCATCTGGACAAACTTTAATGTTCACCTGCTTAGCGAACAATTCTTTCCAAATATATTTACATTTACACAGAAGGTTCTTTTTATTAGAACAATATAAATGTTTCTCCTTCAGGACTCACTGCGCCCCAGTTATGCCTTGAACCAGTGACCAGCAACTTTAATCACTCTGCCAGAGCATCTGCTCCACCTTTACAATCAAATATAATGTCCGGTGAAAGAAAATGCATTGAAATAAAGGCCTATATAAACATTTTATTATCAACATTTTAATGAATAATGTCACATGTGTGTTTGGCCAATATTGTATATCAGAATGTTCGCAATGGGAAGTCTCACCTCTGGGGCCTGCCGAGGGCCTCTGCTCTCTCTTTGGCCTGATGGGGGGGACATTCCATTCAGCCATTGTGTGTGTCCGTGCCCTTCTCACCTTCCCCTTGCGCTCGTTAGGCGAGGGGGACCCCAGGGGACTGCTCTCGGAGCCAGTGGGGGTCTTGGAAGGGGAGGCCAACTGGCTGCTAGGGCATCCTGTGTCATCTGAGTGGGACAGCGAGGAGGCAGCAGGACACAGCATCAAGACAAAGGTGGTGGTCTACTAAGGTGGCAGTCTACAAAGTAGTAGTCTACAAAGGTGGTGGTCTACAAAGCTGGCAGTCTACAAAGTAATGGTCTGCAGAGATGGTGATCTACAATAGGAACAACTACTCCAGCCAGGGCTAGACTAGTATAGGACTTTGGGGTCTGCCATGGTAAATTTTGCCAGGGAAAATGCCCTAGATGCCAGATGGCCAGTGCAGCCCTAATTCCAGCTAGCATCCTGCTAACAGTGCTGCTAGTGAATGAGGTCAAATAATCACTGTTACACTATAGAGCTATACATTCTGTGCAGATACTGTAAAAGACAGGTTCTATGAGAAATACATAGTCATCTGTCAACATGCTGTACATTTTACCATATGTTCCTGATACCTCCACAGCTGACCCCTCTGAGCTCTTCACCTGCAAAATTCTCTACTCGACAATAATTTTTGCTATGACAGCTATCTCAGCAAATCTCGGAATACCAAAAAAACATACTGAACACATAAACTACTAGGTTAACTTTATTATTTACAAGATTTGTTTTTTAACTATACTGGGGGGCAGGAGCAGGGAATGGGTGGCTTTGTAGCTGGAGCCCGTGTAATTCAAGCGTTCTTAAAGTAAATGTTTCTGTATGTTTGCAGATGTTGTATAAATGCATGCGTCATAAGTTACACAGTCTATTATATTAAAAATTACATATATATAAAAAACAGAAAAACATTAAATAAAGTTCTCGGGTTTCAACTTTGTTACAATGATATTTGCGAGAAGTAAGAAGGTACCTGAAGAGAAACTGCTGGCGCTAACTGTTCCCTTGTAGTGATCGGAGATGAGGTCGCAGTGTCTGTTATCCTCTTCGGAAAATGGTGACTCCGTCAGCGGCGATTCTGCCTGATCGGGGCTCTGAGGACGAAGGATCAACCGTGGGATGCGGCTGCGTGGCCTCTCCTTTCCCTGCGCCCGGTACTCCTGCCAGCAACACGACCAGCACTACAGTCATTTGTGGTAATTCCAAGAGGCCGAGAGGCCGAGAAAAATCTGTTTAAGGCATCAGTACATGTATGCAGTATATTTTCTGTGGAAAACTCTGCACGTCTTTCACGGATCCTGCCTCCTTAAATTCTGCTAGATCATACGCAGCACGCGCATCTAAAAATCTGGGATACATATTTTTAACTGCAGCGTAATAAATAAGTGAATGAATGAATGTCTTATGTGCAAATAACAGCAAAGTCATTCGGCCATAAAAAAAACAGTCAATGCTGGTAATCCGCAAGAAGGGAAAAAAATTGAACACGACTAATATCCCACATTGCGACAATACTCCAGTTAGACCGCATGTTATGATTAAAGGTAGGCACAACAAAATCAAAATTACTTCTGAATCCGCTGTCATTAAAAAAAAATGCATGCAGACAAGCAAAGCACCGGCCGGGATAAGAGAAAAGCATAACAGACACCTCGTGTTCTGGGAATGGTCCCATTCCGCTGGAAAAGGCAGTTTGTGCGCTGTAAACCTGTCAGGGAAGAAAAACGAGTTAAGACTCATGCGGCACTGCGCCATTAAGACACGTGGCATTACAGGGAAAATGAGCCTCAGCGTCGTCAGTGGAAGATAATGGTGCGAGCGATCCTTACTGATGGCATTTACTCAGTCATCTCAGTCATGCTTCTTTTTTAATAATGTGGTGTTACTCCAAAGTGCAAATACCCGACGGAGTAAGAGAAAGTGGGATATTGAGGAGACACAACTTAACTTTAAGTACAAATTTGTTGAGCATTGGGCTATTTATTGGGCATAATTACGCCCTGCAAATACCTTTTAAGTAAAAATAATGTTATATCTTGTGAAATATCTGGATTCTCGATACTATTTCGCAGAAATATCTCTTAGATTCTGAAAAGTGTTAAGTATACAACAGACCCATTTGATAATAGGACAGATGTTAAAGCTGCCATTCAGCCCTGGTGTTTGGTTATTTAAGTAAAAGATACTGCTTGGAATTTTCCGATTATGTTGCCCACCATAGCACATTGTGCGATGTTAGTCTGACTAGAGCATATAATGCATGCTTTTAAAATAGCTTTTGCTGTACTCTTTGTTGTTGGATTGATTTATGCTGGAACTAGATAGAAACAGGAAGGTATTTGATATATTTACAGTTTAAATTCCTAGTAAGAAAAGGAGATGAATGTGTGAGGTGGTATTGATCGCTCACATCTCACCTACTAAGCTGTCAAAAAGGAAAAAGACTGGCCCCATACACAGATATGTCACCATTATGTAACTTTGGTTAAATAATTAACTAACATAAGAGCTAATCCTCGGTTTGTTCATGGAATAGAGCAGATACTCCTGGATTACACGTACTGTACAAGTGCTTCTGTAATTTCAAAAACTACCAGAATACTGTTACGAATGAATCCTGTCCTTCTGAGATTCTCGCTCTGAATACCCTGGCTATGTCTAACGCTCTTGACATCCACGGTCCCATTAAGCACAGCCCCCTTCTTCCATTCCTATTGTTGTTTACTCCAGACCATCAGCCTCTAAAGGCAACTGCTAGAGGTCTCACTAGCAATAAAATCTTCACATATCACTGCCCCCCTCTATAAACTTCACTAGATACCCTTCCGTTTATAGGATAAACTCTTTCTGTTGACTTTTAAGACCCCCGTGTATCCTTCTGAGACCCCACCCATTCATTTATGTCCATTGCAGTGGACATTTTGTTTTTGCATATATCTTTTCATTGATGTAAGGAAACGTCTTTATTCCTGTTGTACACAAAAAACATATCCAAAGAGGATATGCTGTGAAATTAAAAACAAAAATAAATAAAATAATAAAAACAAAAGTAAATTCGAAAAAAAGATGTCTTATTTCCTCCAAAGACATAGAAAATCACAATTAACCTAAAACTGAAGGACACTTTTTTCCTTGAGTCTCAGGAGGATGTTGCAGAGCTCCTCCCTTATACACCTGCCCCTTCCCACAGGTCTGCAGGCACTGGTCTCCTAGTGCTGTATCACATTTTCTTGTCTTCTGTGGATGGCTGGGCATTTGGTTTTTTAGCTCCAACACCTTGACACTCGCTAACACAAAGCCTGTGGTACCAAATCTCCCTTCTAAGCAGAACTTAAAATCGTGTCTCATCACTCAGCGTGTCACTTCTCATACTTGATCCTGATCTGCTGGTGTTGAGTCATTCAATGTGTTAGCATATGTTCCTGTGTTCTTGTATTGCCTCTGAATGTATTTCCAGGCCATCTATGTCTTGGTTGTGTGCTTTGCCACATTATTGCAGCTTGCAGCTATAATATATATATATATATATATAATTTTGCATAAGTGTTTTTATATTATACAAGTAAGCATCTCAGGTTTTGTTATATAGATATGCCGAGCGATGCATTGCCTTTGGATTGCAACTGTTCATAACTGTGCTTGTGTTTGCAATTTAAGTTATTTATTAAAACTAATTTCAAAAAGCTACCTCTAAATACCCGCCCCCCCTTCCCTTAAACGGTTCATGTTGGTCTCAGCTGCATCCCCAATTAAGCTGGCTTGCTGTGGCCCATGCCTCCTCAGAGACTGGCCTGCATGATGACCTGAAGCTTTAAGCACGTCTATTCATTTTCTGTACCTGTTTGTCCTACCCAGGGTCACCAGAGCCTATCCTGAAAGTTATAGGCACAAGATACATAGGATCTATGCAGGTGGCTTAATGGCTCAGGAGGTAGACATGGTCACAAGCCTAAACTATGTATGTGTGTAGCTTGCCTGTTCTGCTGGTCTTGCACAAGTTTCCTCATGCATTCCTAAAGCATGCAGGTAAGTGTATGGTGCCCCTGAGTGTGTGCTTGCGTTTCTCCTGTGATGGTGGGGGGGGTCTCATGAGGAGTGTTCCCCTGCTTTGTTCCCTGCACTGCAAACCAGTGGAAGACATTCTGATGAAAATTACTGAAACACAGGAACTGGGTACAATTTTGAAGCATTCAGAATGTACGTGCTAATTGAATAACTGCATAAAGACAGAATTGTAGGCTTACTTATATAAAATACAATAGCAATTAAGGCAATAGACAAGGGATCTGAACTTTGCTAGTTCAATTCCCAATTACAGCGATGTCTTGGTACTCTGAATCAAGGTATGAAAAATGAATGTTTGTTTTCATATTTACCTACAATCATTATAAATCTGTAATTTGCACTGGAAAAGACTCTGGCCATGGAATGAACTGCATGTCAGAGATATCACGGTATTCTCTGAAAAGGCAACAATAATCTCTCGATTCATTTGCACAATTTGAAAATTTTAGTAAAGGTAAATAACATAATGGCTAAAAACAGTTCAATAATGTTATTTTTGCGTTGTAGTGTGAATAGGACTGTCTTTTTCTTGCCATAGAAATGGCAGTTCCAAACCCTCATTATTGCTTGTTTATAATTAGCACACAACAGATAATATAATGTATTATTCTGAGGAAACATTCACTTCTCCTTGATTGCATTCAGAACGCTGTCACATTGGCATGAGCTGCTACAACCTGGCTGGCAACAGAACTAGCAAATAGCAGCAGAGGAAAATTGCTAGAAGGACAATGCCCTTCATTTTGGTCCTGGAAATAAGGGCACAGAACAGCAGAATTGTGCTGTTTCACACTTGAGTCCCGCATTGCTAACAGACCTCCACTGTGGAGGGGATCCCCATTATGGCAGCTATAGTGGTGGTAAAGCAGTAAAGCCGCGCTGTGTGACGTAATAAGCACAAAATCTATTGGACCAATCTAACCTAAGCAGGGGACATGGTTCCACGTTTCCTCTTTCATATTCATATTTTATTAGTCCATGGAGGAAAATGTTCCCGCATTTCCTGTTATTACGTTGCCGCCTTAGCAACAGCGATTACGTAGTCAGCACACCGTGCATTTTTGACAGCCTGTTAGAGCTGATCAGCGGGGATGCGTAGCTCCGTGGCAGCACTTCCCCTCATCCAGTGTCCCATGGCATCATCACAGCGATAGGAAACGAAGGCGCAGCCGCTTACCAGTGGGTCGCCTGCCTGAACCGCAATAACAACAACCGACTGAGAAAGGCAGCGAACGCGCAGGGCATTTCGGGAATGTTTTCTCTGCACTTTGGGTGGGTTTTGTCAGTATTTGGATGAGAGAATCGCGTTTCACATTAATTCGATCCCTACATTAATTGTCATGTTAAATATCTGGGGACAACTGTTAGTCTTGGTCAGACCACTTATTTAACTTCTTCACGCAGTTCAATTCGTCCGTATTCCTTACGTACATAGGCTAAGTAAAGATAATCAGGGATTAAGTCAAATTTTCCTGGGGCTTGTCTTTTTTGTTGTTTTTTTGGAAGGAAGACTGGCATCGGGGCTAAAATTCTCGGAGCTAACGACGCCCATGTTAAGTAGTTCTTTTCTTAAGGTGTATTCTTGGTTGGTTTGATTTTCATTTTAGAAATTGGCCTCCTTGCATCTGCATATAGGTCTACCGGTAATTCCAAAGCATGCTCAAAACAACCTGATTGCGATTCAATCAAGGCGTTTTGTGGTTTTGAAAAATAAACCTGGCGCCAATAAAGGGCGTAAAAATGTGGGTATGCAGGCTAGGTACATGTACCTACCAATATTGTAGGGTCGGAGTACCGCGTGTGTTTAAGAGGGGGGGGGGGGGGGGGGGGGGGGGGGGTTGATTTGGTGCCTACCAGTGTTGAAAACAAACCTACGCCCTTGCCTGGCACCGTCATAAAAATCTAAGCATTGTAAGCTCTTAATAATGTCGCTATAGTAACCTACTGTTAGGTCAGGCTCTCTCAAAGCCCTCAAGTGTAAAATACAATTTGATTTAAAATATAACACAACAATAGTGAATTTTGAGGTTTTATTCAGACGTAAGGCGTGAACCTGGTATTAAATACTTAAATACTATTATTTATAATAAAACTCAATCAAATACCTCGTGGTTTCTCGATCCTGCATGAAAAATGTATAAGGGCGTATCAACAAGAAAATCGCGTTAACGTCTTACTGAAAGCCACTAAGCTAAAAAAATAAAATACATTTTTTTGCCCCCAACAGATGCCGAGAAAACCTAACATTCCTTGCGAGTTGTACTATTGTTTGTTAAATACATTTAATACGAATCATAGCCTGAACATAATTAGTAGGCTAATGCATTTGCTGTATAATCGTTACTACATGTTTAAATAAGGTAGGTTCCATTATATTATATATTGAAATTTACTTGCCTTTTATGACGAAACGTTTAGAAATAATTCAGCGGTCTTCTAAAGAAGATGCAGATCCACTTATTAAACAATTCACCCAATTTCCTGCTTTTCTGAAGGGGCGACGTTTTTTGCCAAGGATACCGACTGATCTGACTTAAAGCGTTATCCTGATTGCCTAATATATAACAATACTCAAGCTGAGACGAGCAGTCATGTAAGAAGGCAGCTCCCATCTGAATTACATGATACTAGACGTCAGAAATTCGACTAACATTATAAGGGTTACGTTACATAACACAGTTAACTATTTAGGTGCTTCTCTTAAGTTTTTTGAAATCGTAATGAGTTATAGTTCTTGCGAAGACGACGATGATTTCAAATGGTATATTTATCAAAAATATAATTAGTAGTAGTAGTTTTCGTGAAAATGAAGCGGTGTGGAAAAATAAACGAAGATCAATTGACTTATTGATTGATCGATCGATTTATTGATTGATTGATTGATTCATTCATTCATTGACATTCCTGATTATCGGAGCAGTCGTTAAATCCATGCCTATAAATTTTACATTAACAGGCCTGCTGGGTCTAACGTGAGCGAAAGACCATAAACACAACAAAGCTCTTTCTCCCAAGCTATATGCTAGATATTTTAGCCGTGTGGCTAAATTATTACTTTATTGGCAGCCTTTATCGGTAGAATATAAAGCAGGTTACTCAAAGGCTCCAGTTTTAAAAGCATTAAATTTGTGATTAAGACAGCGGGACAGTTGTCTAAAAAAGAGCAATACATCACGGTTGAAAGGGTGCGATCAGGCGTACCATACATTATTACCCCCGTCTATTCATGTATAGTTATTGGAGTAATTCATGTATATAATACATGCTGTAATGACCGCGCCTTTGTCATTCAGTAATGTTTGTTCGTTAATCATACATAGAAAACTGAAAATACATGAAAATGTAGCCTAATTCGTATAACAACAGCTCAGTCAGTGGTTTTACTATTATTTTATACTAGTTGGTTCCTCTACAAATTGCTTGTTCCCCATTATTTTCCTCAGAAGTTGGCACCATATAGGATGGACCGGCCCTGGTGGTACTAAATTACTTCATTCTTTATTTGCTGTATAATCGATAGATAGATAGATAGATAGATAGATAGATAGATAGATAGATAGATAGATAGATAGATCATCTAAAACATATGAGCGAAAGACCCCCTAACACGTCGGCTGTCCATGGTGCTGAAGTCAGTTGATTGCTTGAGAGTTAACCCGTATAGTCATGGGGTGTCGCGATTCATATTAAAGTTTAAGCGTTTGTGTGATATTTCCGGTGTTATTTCAATATCAATCCGAACCTGTAAATCACAGAATTTCCCCAGTGATCACCGAAACACTTGTGCAAGAAATTTGTTTGCATAGGCCTACATTCGTCATGATAAATGGAAACATGATTGCAGAGAATGTGACGTTGAGTGCCTTTGAAAGCCCGCTCTCTGTTGAAAATAGGGACGAGATGGATGAAATCAAAGTTTAACAGTCAAACATGATGCAACGCAATTCGTATAATTTATGAATATCTATATTTACTGTTCATTGCGGTAGTTAGCTTCCCCTTAAAGAACAGTAGCTTTATTAAATCTTATTTTGGTTGTCACTGAAGTCATTATTTGGAAATTTAGGCTTAAGTAATCTTACCTGCCGTACCTGGTGCTTAAGGTTTAAATCAGTTACCAACTGATAAGTTACTCTGACGTCTGAAGGACAGTGGACGTCGAGGGAAGGAATTGCGTGGAAAACTGTATCGGAGGAATAAAGATACCCACGAAATATTAACTCTAAAAAATAATGTCTGATTTTGTCCATTAATTACAGCACATTCAACAACTGGTGTTTTAATTAATTCTCAGATGCTTAAACAATAAATATTAGTAGTAAATATTAACATTAAAGACAGCCATTCAAATAATTGTCTGCTAATGAATCCGTTCCTCATAGATAAAGCTGACCAAGGTAAGTGGTTTGAAAATGGTTGGATGGGAAAACTTTTTTTTTGTGACTTCTCGGAGAAATCCGCTAGGGGGCAGTATAATCCATGTTCTATTTTAAAATCGCTTCTTGATTTTCACCATTTTTGTCAGGTCAATATTTCCTGACATGCAGTAATACTCGAAGTATGTGTAGCGGCGAATATGAGCTGCGTATATTTCATATGAGTATTTACATTGGACTGCATTTATTTATATAATGCTAAAATTGTTGAAATCATATATGACTGTTTTGGCTGTTGTGGGTTAAGGGCAACGGTTAATTAACCTGAAAAAGAAAAACTGGATCAGCTTACAGTCGATCAAATTTGAATCAAATTTAAGAATATGAAGAAATTCGGTCTGAAATCACGATGTAATCAAGCGTGGTAAATAAGCAATCTTTTTTATTATATCGGTGCAGGTTACGTCGTGGGTAGTTAACCATGAAATCGAAGTTATCCAGGGATAATATCGCCATTATCCTGAGTGTTTATGAATGCTGTTAGTTGTTTTTTTTGTTTTGTTTTGGGGGCTAGCTATGTCACCATAAATGATGGGAAAGAAGACACATCTAAGCAAGACTTTAGCCAGGAGATTAGCTATGGCCATTCAGAGAAGCTCTCCCCTGGGAAAAACTACCGCAAAATAGTCGGGAAAATATGACAAATGGTTCTGTGTGTTTTTTGTCGGTTTTCGGTGATAACATCAGGGTTGATTCTCTGTTGAAATAATATTAACCATGCATCCGCTTTTTTGTCTGCGTTGTTTCATTCCATTCTATAGAATCCTGTGTAATATTACATGGTTAATATTTGCGTGCCGTTTTCATTTTAAGCGGCATGATCCAGTTATATAACCTACAAAAACCTTACTGGCTGCTATAAACTAGATCTGTTATATATTTAATTTATGCTAATACGGCTAATTCCAGTGGCTTACAATCATGTAACCTTAACTATCACTTAACTATGACCATCGCTGACATTTCCATATAACCTCAGACATCGACTGTGTTTTTGACAATTGACCTTAAATTTAAATTTTAAATAAAGGTTCTTACCCAATGTAAATTTCTTATATTATTATTAGATAATCAGAAACGCAATGCTTTCATAAAGCCTGTCATATAACTTAATATATAATTTGTTCTATCTGTCCTGCGTACATCATTGGGACTGTATACGGAATTTGTTCAGGTTTTGGTCAACCTGGCCACCAGTCCTCGCCGTGGTCTGCTAGCCGCGTGAGGGATCTGGTTCTTAATATACTGGTGGACATAAGAGGGCTACGGTTTCCGATAAATGCTACAGTCTTTAGAAGTGGGCGTGTTTCTTAGTTGCTTCAGCAGACTTTCAGGCTCTGAGAGTCATAAGAGAGCCCAATCTTCTCCTTGTTAAATTAAGTCATTACGGTCGTCATTCTTCAAGCTTCGAACAATTTCCATATCAAAACCAATCTTAAAGCTTACGATTGTCGTTTATTGCATCCTGTTACCATGGATATTCTCGGAGGAGTCACCATGTGGCTGATTTTCTTCTTTCTTTGGGATTTACCGACCATCCAGTCGGCTTTTATTTACTCTTCATCTATTCAACAGGGCATCAAAGCGACTAGAATGCACAATAATGGACATCGGGCAAGCAGATTCTTAAAAGATATTTTTGCATCCTCTTTGACCAAACACCATCACCAGAGTGGGTTCAAGGACACCTTTGTGCCACATGAGTATATGCTTTCCATATATAGGACTTACTCTAAGGCCGAAAAACTGGGGCTAAATGCAAGTTTTTTTCAGTCATCAAAGTCAGCTAACATCATTACAAGTTTTGTGGACAAAGGGCAAGGTCAGTAAACCAAAACACCCCAAAGGACAAAAATGTAGGATCAGTTACTGCCATTTGTTATCTAGTGTGTCTTAAAGTTTAACGCTTTGAAGTATTAAATATTTAATAGTATAACACGTGTTGACATTAACATGTAATGCTAAATAAACTGAGTGGTATTCTTTGTTGTTTAATATTTTATTTAATTTTAAAGCATTATACCATCCCATATATCATGATGCTGTTCATCTGATTCCCTGGGATATTTATCTAAAATAATTATGTAATATCCATTGGACAAATATTGACAGACATCTTCAAATTGCCTTGTATAATAAATATTTCGTTTGGATAAATCAGTTTTATATCCTTGCGCACGTAAGTGCAGTACTGAAAATAAATGCAGAAACAAAATCTGGAAATTTAAAGCAAAGAGACGCGTACTTGCGAGTTGCTTATACAGAACGTGCGTTTTTATGTTATCGCGTGCAAGTGGTTAAACCCTGGCACTTGATTTCTCAGAGTTTACGAACTCTCAATTAGGCGTAAAAATGTATTACAAGCTTTTAAAAACTATCTTCAAGCATATTACTTAAGAGATACGTCACTAAAAAAATAAGTAGCACGAGAGCTGAATATGCCCTAAAAGGAAAAAAAGGTAAAAGAAATTGCGGTAAATGCATGTTATCGAACTTAAAAACTGTGTGCACGCTATAACAAATACTATATAGGCTACTATATATTATTGTTGTCTATAGAGAACAATTACCACACTGCAAAGGAAAACAAACAAATAAAAAGCGATAACTAGGAGAATTTGCGATTAATTTCCCATGTGGCCACCACTTTAATGAAATTTCTCCTCTACTTTTTCAGTGTCCCCAGTTACTGCGTTGACAGCAAGTTCTGTTCCAGTCCACGGGGGAATTTGTTTCAGATGTCGCGTAAACTACCAATAACAACTATTACAAGTGAAAGTACTTTCATGTTGAAAAAGAAGCTATCTTTTAATGCAAATTTTACCGCGAGCACATTCCGTTTGATTATTAGGCCTGTTATCGAAGACTGAATTCATGAATGTCACCATCGTTCATAAGAAATTCATTCTTACTGTTTTCTGTCTTATGCGGCTACTTAATTTCTAAATAGAACAATAATAAAATCAATAAAATAATAACGACAACAGCAGCGGCAGCAATAATAATAATTATTATTATATTATTATTATTATCATTATAATAATATCAGTAACAATAAATTGCCCAAAATTTTAATTAATTTTAAACGTCATCATTTGTTTTCACATTTTTCAGCATAAATTCACAAGTATTGTGCGTGACTAATTAATATACGCATCGGCATAAATCGTAAACGTGAGGATTTTGTCGGCACAGGTGGGAATATGAAACAAGTATGAAACAAGTATGAACACAAGAGCTTTTTTCGTGACTTTCTGTTCCATTTGTATAAAGTATATGCATAATGTAAAACAGGCAGCTGAAACACATAAGGTCCCAGTCTCCCATACTTCTGTGACTCTGCTGGGCGGATCAAGCAGGATGCTACAATTTTTTAGTACGGCAGGCTATCATAAATTAGTTTGTGCGTATATTTACAAATACCATTAAAATTTACAACAACGTTGTGAATTATGTAATTTTTATTTTTACTAATTTAAAGGTTTCAAAATTGTCGTTTTTGTGTGAAACTGCTACATGCATAGGCTGGGCACTGAAAACACATTTTAATCTTCTAGAAGGGAATCCCGGCCATAATATTGTGCCCGTTAAATGATAATCAATAATTGTCACGGAAAGGCACTTGAAAGGCGAGTGAAAGGAAATGAAAGGCGAGTGAAATATCCTCAGTGTTAGGACTGTAATCATTTCGGTGCTGCGTGCGCGTTTTTGTGAAAAGAAACATATGTGTTAATGCCGAAGAATAATCGCTTATAGCCTATTAAAGAATTTTGTTCCTTTCTATCTGTAGACTTGAAAGCCTGTTCATTTTAGTAATTAATTCACAAGAATATTACATTTATCATATTTGTGCATAGTTTATACAAAACGTTATATGAATCAAAAAAATTGACAATAGTGCGATCTAGTTTCAATTGCACGCCTTAAATATTTTCTGCAGAATAAATAGCTGTGTTTTAAAATAAGACATATAATGTGTCACATAGTTGCTGGCGTCCTATATAGGATAAGTTGGTGCAAGATGGATAAATAACTGAGAAACAAACAAATAACTGAACGAACAAACAAATAAATTTATAAATTCCTGGAGCTTATTGTAAAAATGAACCAATCGTGATACATTCACCTAAAATGTACATGTGATCATTATGTAACTTTATTATAACCATAATGATGAAAATGCTGATGATAATGACAAATTCTTATAAAGAATGGTAAAGAAAAATGTAGCGGTGGCTGGTCAGATGAAACAGTGACTTGCAAAATGAATCTATGAACTATGAATAACTGATTGCTTGCTTTATTTTCCAGACTCTGTGTCTCACATCCCATTGCAAAGACAAAAGTACATTTTTAATATTTCAACCCTTTCCGGCAAAGATGAACTGATGGGTGCGGAACTGAGGATACTCCGAAAAGCGCGAACAAATTTTGCCACATCAGATACAAGTTTATTCAACATTCACATATATTCTTGTCACTCAAAACAGAATCTGGATTCCTGGCCTGCTGTTGTGCGAGATCGCAGACCACCGGTGTGGGAGGTCTTGGATGTCTGGAAGGTTTTTAAAAAACAACTAAGTTTTTCCCAAGGCGACGAGCTTTGCTTTGAACTTCAGGCCTCTCCTGATAAATCTGAAGGAGAACTTAACCTGCAGCATCTTGGATTTAGCAGAGCCAATAGGCTCCAGCAGGAGAAGGCAATCTTGGTCGTTTTCACTAGGTCTCAGAAGACGGAGAACCCACTCGGCGACAGGAGAGGAAGTGCAAAGTACGGGGAGTCACGAAAGGTGGCGCAGAAGGGAGGTCCCCGATCCAAAGCCAGGAGGAGCAGGAGGACGGTCCTAGCGAACCGGCATGGAAGGAGAAACGGTAAAAAGGCCAAGTCGAGGTGCAGCAAGAAACCTCTTCGCGTAAATTTTAAAGAGCTTGGCTGGGACGACTGGATCATAGCACCGCTTGACTATGAGGCTTATCACTGTGAGGGGCTGTGCGACTTCCCCCTGAGGTCGCACCTGGAGCCCACAAACCACGCCATCATCCAGACCCTCATAAACTCCATGGACCCCAGCAGCACCCCCGCCAGTTGCTGTGTTCCTGCCAAACTCAGTCCAATCAGCATACTGTACATAGACTCTGGGAACAACGTTGTGTACAAGCAGTATGAGGACATGGTGGTGGAGTCTTGTGGTTGCAGGTAGCCCCCCCCCCTCCTGACAGTCTCTATGGTGCAGATCCAGACACATGACCAGTGGTCCATGGATACAAGGGAGGGCTGACATAGTGAATTTTCTGCAGATTTTAAGGTTCTGGTTTCTAATTTATCTACAGAAGCTTATCAACAGCAGCGAATCTGACTTACAGCTATGAGACGTGCTTATAAATGGAGGCACCATGTTCATATGCATATCTGGAAGATTCATCACACAACCTGGTGGTTTTCATAAAACTCATCAATAAAACGTCCTTTTGGTTGCCGGGCAAAGTAATGCATGTCGCAGTGCTGGTCTGTTGGATTCTACAGTGGTCAGATGTGTATAGAGGATAGTCACAAAAGCAAGTACTTTCACCAAGAGGTCAGTAAAGAGCAGGTGGAAACTTACTTAACTAAATTCCATAGTTAGTGGAACCAGCCAAGTGAAGTAGAGCTCAAATCATTTAAACCCTTTATCACGTCTCATCAGCACCACCATGAACCAATTTTATGGCTATTTGAGAAGATGGATGTTATCACCAAAGTATAAAAGTCTAATTGTGGTTCACAACTCTGTTCTCAAAGTGCCCCTTTGTGTATGGCTTCCCAACCAATCTCTTAATTAAATAAAGTCTGATAGGCTATTATGAATTTTGATCTAAAATACCGTTAATGATTTTATTGTTAGGTCTGGTAACAGTTATACAACACAGGAGTGGTATGTTTGTGCTAATTAAAAAGGTCAATAAACAAATAATTGGTTGTATTTCATAACAAATTTATTGTGATAATTACATTGCATTATTAAGACCCAAAGAAATATTTTTCTTGTCCTGTACAACACTGATCCAAACTGAAGATTGTTCTCTGCAATAGTACAGCAGTGTTAAAACTTCACTTGCAGTTACATTTCCATAGGACCTTCCATAAGCTGTAATAAGGGTTTTTGCGGCACAAATATTGAAATATATTCAAAAATAGCAAAAATATATTCAAAAATAAGTCAGATTCAGAATTTAACAATTCAGCCATTACCCAGTTGTTTTTTTAAAGAGTTTACTTGCAACAGAAATCAACATGCACAGCAATAGTCTAGGACTATTTCTGAGAATAATTATACTGTAGGGAGAAATGTTTTTTTAGTGTTTTCTTCCACATTCTGCTCCTCTGCATCCACATCGTTGCCAAAGAACTCAGTGAGAAGAACAACATATTAGCTTGAAATTGTGGTTGATTGATCGACTTAGTTACAGCTTCGAGATAACCAAAACAAGCCCTTTTTTCATATTCGTGTTGTGCTGTGTCTGAAAGGACAAGGCCAGAGGACATTTCGACAATGTGTGGCACCAATGTGATGTTACAGATTCAAGTCCAAAGCAACAGTCTGATTGCAGAGAGGAAATCACAAACTTTGTGTTCAAGTCACTGTAGAAAAGGACAAATGGAGTTAGACAGTGAGGAGGTCTAAATGCACAATAACTTTTATGCACTGTGGTTTATATTTGAACTGTAAGTATTTGTACATATAAAATGTAGAGCTTGCCAATGGTAAACAACATTTCATAAATGTGTGTCGGTGTGCATGTGTGTGGCTGTATGTAGGTGTGCTGGGATCTTTCTGTGTTTATTTTATTTCATTTCATCTGTACAGGGTGTTGAAGGTAATGATATATTTTATGTGAGATTATTTTAACAATGTACACAGCCTGTGTTATTCTGTACTGGGGATCAAAACTCAATTATCCTTGTCTACCTCAAAAATATATTAACTCTTGAAAGTTCTGAGGTACATTATTCTAAAGTGTAAAGAGGCATATTTTCTGTTATATATTTCTAATGAATAATTATCACTGCTATACTAATAAATTGGCTGACTGTACTTTTCATGTTATTTTGCTGCCATATTTATAAGAAAACGGAATTTCTCTTGCGTGGATTGAGTTAGGGGTTTGTCCTCCAGGGAATGTGCTGTGTTATAAAGGGCAGTATCATTATACAAAGTAAATGTGTGTATTTCACATATTATAATGCTGCTTAACGTAAAAGTTTGTTAAAAAAATTATTATTATTATAAAATACTGATATATAAAGGAAACATTTGTTCAATTAACGGCGATCCAGCAGCAACTGGTGTGGAAATTCCCCCCCCCCCCCCACCTTTAAAAAAAGACCGTTCTTGCATCTAGCAGCTGTTTCCATCAGAAATTGCACATTGCTCTATCTAATACATATACAGTCATCAGATTTCCCTCACAGCTATATTAACAGTGGACCTTCCATAAGTGCCACTATGGGATTTTATTGCTCACATCTAGAAAATATTTTGTTAAAATACTTCTGACATGTCGCATCAGTCAGCTGCCTCATAAGCTTCAGAAGTTTGCAGGCCGTCACACACAGAACAGATCTGAGGTGTTTTTCATTACTTTATAGGCTGGGCTCCGGTTCACGATTGGAAAGAATCTTTTAGCATAAACAGATCAGGGTCCACGTTCTTGGGAACTTGCTGCATTTCATTGGTGCTGCGTTGAAGCTGTCGGAGATGCATCACTGCGGGTGCCAGGAGACTCCCCCATGTCTCCTCTCAGCGTCGTTCACAGATCACGGTCTTCATTTAGACCGAGATACCGAGAAAACACGATTCCCCTGTATGCATCCAGCCACTGCAGGGTCACGTTTAACAGACCGGTGCATTCTGTCTGGGACAGGAGAACATCTCCCTGCCTTGTGTAAACACCTTTCTTCTTAGGTTTCAATATCTTAAATATTTCAAATATTCCCAATCACTCACCCACGCACACGTGCTGTTTACTCTAAGCATATGCTCTGCTGCAGTAGGTCCTGGGACAGGAATAACTGTTTGGCAAACAGACAGCAAGTCGTCACTAACTGACGTGACTGATGAGCCTTCAAGTCAGTTCTTACTCTGATTCAAGGCTGAACCGTCACCCTGAGATACCTGCTAAATACCTGCTAACTCACTCTGCCTCTCATACCTACTCCACCACTGACGCCGCACCCGCAAAATGGGCTTCCTCCGCACAGCACCCCTTGCTCCCGTCTGACCTTTTAATGACCTGCTTTTAAGTCAGAGGGCACTTTCAGCCAGGGAGTCGAATGGCAGCTAATGATACGCCTTTTAGTCTGTACAATGGTCACCGAGGAGGGGTTTTCGTGCATGGCGGGGCGAAAAAATGAAAGTGCTCATTCCTTTGCACAGGTGGTCCGCTGTGCTGCTTCGCCGTGCCATGGATGAGCGCCGTAAGCAAACAGCACCCCCCCCAGCCCTTCAGCCCCCCCCCCAGACACTTCGTCTCAGACGCTTAGGTTCCAGGCATGACTCCTAGCCGCTGTCCTCACCTGTGACATGAGAGACAGATCCCCGCTGCCCTGGATGTGCTGTACTGTACTCTCAAGCGCTGCCTTGTATAAAACACGCACAGCGCATATTGGTGTCTTGTTGCTATATGTCCCTGTTTTGTATTATTTCTCAATTTCTCAGCAATAGTTGTATATGCAGATGTATTTAAATGTATATGGTAGTATTGACAGTTTAAAGCAAATTGATTGTTCTTCCTCCATCAGTTTGCCCTGCGGCCTTTTTGTGAATTTTATAAGTAATCTATAAGGGATTTAATAAGTGCGTAGATCAGAGGGCATCCAAAAGACACCAGCTTTATGACCATTAAATGAGAAAGAAACATAGAAGGTCACATGACCATTGTGACCAAGGTCATTTTCAACTTGCAAAGATGCCAGATTTGTTCTTTTAGTCTTACAGTTATTATTTAGAAACATCAGATTTGTTTTCCTGGAGGCGATATGCAGTATACTTCCATAGCGTTCCAACAGAATTCCCCATATCCGAATTGAACTTAATGCCTGTAAGATTTGTAGATCAGTATAGATTTATGGGATAACTTTGACCACAGTCTTGTGTGTTTGGCATGTGTTACTTAAATTTCAACAGCATCTGAAATAGCTGTTGCAGGTTAATAAACAAACACATTTATATCATCTAGGAATGAAAAAGGCTCCACCTGGGAGTTAGTGATATGCATTTATAATTAAAAAGAAATTAAATACTCTTATCATTGCATACAAATGCCAATCAGATACTTCAATAAAGGACACTCAAAGAAATGAATTGGAGTAATGCTTTAGAAAGATCTTTGCTGCTGACCAAATGGATAAAATATAACTGAACAAGCAGGGGGTGATACAGTAAGTATCTCTTATCAGCAATGGACTTATAACTTAGCCCTTTATACAGCTTATTCAGCAGGAGGAAGAATTACCACATGCTTTTCTGCAGTTCTTATCCTGACGACAATATAATATTAAATTAAAGTATCATTTAGTGATTCTTTTACTTTAATACTGAGATTACAGAATGCCATAAAAGCTTAGTAAAAATTATGGATACAGTGCTTATGTAGTATTTGTCCTTTTTCCCCCTTATTTTTAGTGGGAAAAAGATAAAAATTTTGATGTCACCTTGGTTGAATGTGTGTTGATTTGTATATTTTATGACACAGATCACTAGCCGGAGATCTTTACAGACTTTGTGATATGTAACATGTCCACAGAAAGTTTTAATGAAAACATGTCGTGTCAAGTTTGAAATGGTCTTCTTTTTAAAATCGTGTCCGGGGGTATTGGAGGTATCGAGCAGGATTCCGGTGTGTCTGCAGATCTTGTCCATTGTATAATAGAACAGTCTGGACGTCCTCTTGGGGTCGGCAGGACAGCTTGGGAGTGCTGGATCCATCGTGGTGTGTTGACTCATAACAGACACTCAGCAGATGCCTCCAAAACTGGACCCCATCAAAACTGTTTGCCTGTAATCAGCTGTAAGCATTTCAAACATTATATAAACAACATAAGGATCAAAGTAACAAATGTGTTGTCATGGGTAATTGAGGAGGAAGGTTAAGCTCACTGCTCACTGCTCACTGCTCAGCCGCCATTAATCTGACAGACGAGAGCAAGACTGTAGTGCTGAGCTGAGCAGAGAGATCAAAGGCAGCATATCTGACGTGTGGTCCGGTGTGGCGTCTGCTACGGAAACAACATTTGATTATTGTTAAAGAGATGGCCGCACAAGTGTCATGATGCATTTTCATGTAATACTGTAGAGTGAATGGTTTTTATGCCTATCAACAGGGATTCCGAGAACTGGATTGTCTTGTAATTGAAATCACGTGAAATTAGAATTTCAAAAGCGTGCTTTGTCACTACGTTAAATCAGATCTGCCTCCCTACTAGGGTGGATTCAGTCAGATGGCATTGAAAACAATGCCCTGTTTAACCAGGGAATCTGCTGGAAAGATTTGGGTAATACGCTAGAAAGGTGAAGGCCTGATGCAGCTACGCATCAGGTGAAACGTCAGCGAGGTCATAGGCTGACTTATGTTCTAATACATTTTCACTGGCATACTTTGTTTTCAAAGGCATTTGTTTGGTGTCTCCCCCCCAAACACGGAAGTAAAAAAATTCTGGATTATTTTGACCTGAGCTTCTCGCATTTACTCATGGTATCAACCTGGGTTAGATCATCTGCAGAGAATGCATTCCATTTCAAGCAGACAAAATGCTATTCAGTTTGTAGTTCGGGTGTTAGGCCTCTTAAATATATTTTGATTGTGAAAAAATAATTAACTTCACGGTACAGGTCTATTACTACATGAAAAACAAGTACCCATGAAATTTGGGACATACAAATGTATGCAAATTAGTGCAGTGGCATTTCATGATCTATAATTGAATGAAAACATGAACACAGTACAGGAATTTGATCAAAAGGCCATAATTTGGGTTTTTTCCTATTGACTTTTTCTGTCCCGTGATTAACATGTAATTTAAACATTTTACGAAGAGCATGTTCCCTGAATGTTCTCACATTGTTCTTGAATAGTCTCATTAGGTTCTTGCTCTGTAAGAAGTTGCTGTGCAGCTCAGCTTCGATTCTGCTTACACTGTACCTGGGCATTCGCTGGAAGCTCAGCCTAGCCACACTTATGCCTAGTTGACTCCTTGACGCCATGTATGTTTGTAATGTGCTCTTGACCTCACTCTGGACAGCAATGGTCTGCTAAACATGTAAAATGTAATGTAGGAATTAGTTGTAGATGATAGCAGTGCATTATATGGGGGATGTTTAGGTTGAGCTCCATGCTGAATGCAGGCCCTGATCTTAACCTGGTAATGTACAGTGTCTAAGGTCGAGCTTAGAAAGCTTATCCTGGATTGAAATCCGGATAACAACCTGGTTTAAATCAAGTGGCTCCCGCTCCCCCACGAGGACCTCAGATTTTTGATTGGACTGCTTGTTTTGCTGTGCCTCTAGAGTTTTTTAAACAACTAAAACAGTTTGTGTCTGGATTAGATTCAAACATTTAGGTAATGTGTTTTTTTCGTAAAATATTAAAGTCCAGAATGCTGATCGTCCAAATGAAGAAAATTACATGCATTGATTTTGTCAGTCCACAAATCAACAGAATTAAGTCTATTGCATTCAAAACATAAGGAAGAAATATGCGAGCAGGCAATCCTAATAGTGGCCCGGTTATAATCACGGACAGCCCTTAGTACACAACTGCAAGCCATTATTCTCATCAGGTGGGAATGTGTTAACACACGGGGTTCATTTAAATTGAGTTTACAACAGAGATTTGAGAGGGAAGGTTTTGGCCGCTGCTAATCAACACCCTGCATATAACTCACGTAGCTCACAGATTATGGGTCAACCACATGCAACAAGGCCGCTACCTCCTCTTT